TGACTTGGGGTGTCAAGCAAAAAAGGAAGGACAGACTTACAGGCATACATATTGAAAAGCTGGGACTGGGTGGGATATACTACTTTGATGGAGTTCATCCACTATGAGACAACCCAGGATCTCAAGGGGTATATTATGTATAGTCTTAATTAGCCAGTTTGGTAGGAGGCCTCTTCAGGAGAGGGAAGCTGTAGTTGCTAGTTCTTCCGCATAGTGCCAACATTTGAACTCAGACCAGAAGAAGGCTTTGCATCCATCTGAGTCTGACTCAGAAGACTCCCACGGGGTTTGAGTCCTTGACATGGCTGTGCCCACTTCAACAATACACATAAACTTAGGACTTTATCCACGCCTTACACATTCACTCAGGGATTCCTTAGCTCCCTATAATGAAGCCATATGCCTGTTTTTGGGTCAGAAGTAGCTTTCACAAAGGTGTTTATTAGGGATGAAGCAGTTGTGCAGGATTATATATATATTTTAAGACACTGTATAGCCCTGATACTCTCTTTATAGGACCAGCTGTCCCTGAGCCCGACGAAATCTACCTGCTTCTGCCTCCTGAATGCTGAAATTAAAGGTGGACACCACTACTCCTGCAGAATAATTTCACATACTTTCAAGAGAACAATAAAGACTGGTTACAAATTGCTTCTTTAATAATTTTTCATTACATTTTAATTTGTGTGTGCCTGTATGTTGGGTTCATGCCACAACACAGATATGGAGATCAGAGACCAGCCTATAGGATCCAGTCTCTCTCTCTCTCTCTATCATGTGGGCCCTGGGGATGGAACTCAGGTTGTCAGGATTGGTGGCAGACACCTTTACCTGCTGAGCCATCTCACTGACTCCCTCCCCTTTTCTTCTTCTTCTTTTTTTTTTTTTGGATTTTCGAGACAGGGTTTCTCTGTAGCTTTGGTGCCTGTGCTAGAACTAGCTTTTAAATACTAGGCTGTCCTCAACTCACAGAGATCTGCCTGTCTCTGCCTCTTGAGTGCTGGGATTAAAGGCGTGCGCCACCACCGCCTGGCTTTTTTTCCTTTTTTAAAAATAGGATTTTTTTTTTAAAATTTATTTTTTTAGAGGTAAAAGGTCCTTGTGCATACAGATAAGTACTAGGGAAACCAGGAAAAGTTAAACAGGGTTGCTATCTCCTCAGTGTGTGTGTGGGTGGGGGGAGATGTTTATCTGTCTGCCATCCAGAATGCTGGGAAAGGAAGTAGTTTACCATCTCGTGATCTCTTGCTATCTGTAGGGTTAAGGTTCACCTGAATTCCCTAGAATATTATGTTTGTTTACCCCTCCCAAATCTTGGGCATTCCTTCTCAGTCCATAAAACCCATCCTTATGAGAGATGTCACTTGTTTAACCTAAGTGACTTGTATTATCTTTGGGCCAGGACAATCTTGATTCCCACAGGCATTCTGTTTACCTCAGCCCATCCTTCCAAGACCCTTATCTTGAACTGTCTCTGAGTCAGCAGTACTCATCTTTATGGAAGAAATCACGTGCACTTTGTAAAGAGTTTTAACGGAAGCATGCCTTAAACTTTGTTGTACGCATGGGACTGAGTTAATTGTCATCAGAAAACTTTTTTTCCCCAAAATTGTGCTGTGCTAAAGTATGGCTAAAATAAACCACTTGGTGTTAGACTCCAGAAGTTTGACCCAGCACTGATTAACTAAGTTGTGCTGAACCAAGTTTCACGGTCATCTCACCTGGACTGTTTCCCTGCCAGTCACAGTGCTTGCAGGGACCTCTGCATTATTTATGTGTATGAGTGTATGTGCACCACGTTCATGCGTGATGCCAGAGGAGCTCAGAAGGAGGTGCAGAATCCTGGAATTGGAGTTATGGGCACTTTTGTGCACCATGTTCATGCGTAATGCCAGAGGAGCTCAGAAGGAGGTGCAGAGTTCTGGAATTGGAGTTGTGGGCACTTCCAAGCTGACATGTGGGTGCTGAGAATTGAACCTGACTTCACTAGCACTGTGTATTAGTTAGGGTTCTCTAGAGAAGCAGAATAATAGAATGAATGAATCTGTCTGTCTATCTATTGGGGATTTACTAGAATGGATTATAGGCTGTGGTTCAGCTAGTCCAACAATGGCTGTCTAACAATGGAAGGTCCAAAAACTTAGTGGTTCAGCCCATGAGGCTGTATGTCTCAGCGGGTCTTCAGTATATGTCAGAATCCTAAAGACGTAGGCTCTAATGCCAGTGAAGGAAATGGACTTGCTAATGAAAGCAAGCAGGCAAAGAAAGCAAGCTTTCCTTACAGGGTCTGCACCCACTTCAAAGGATTTCATTAAGAAAAAAATCCCTCACAGGTGTTTCCAGCTGCTTGCGTTTCAGTTAATTCCAGATACAGTAAACTTGACAACCAGAATAGCCATCATACACCGAATACTTAGCTAGGTTCCCAGAACTAGGTATGGTTTCCCTCTTGCTGAATGGGTCTTAAGTCTAATTAGAGAACTGTTGGTTATCACCAATGTATGCATGTCACTATTGCACCCTCAGAGCTGTCACGTCAAACTCCAACCAATAACTCTCTAGTCTGACATGTATGTACTCAAGGTGGAGAAGGCTGCACGCAAGATTGACATTAACCAATGATTGATTTACAGGTTTTGAGAGTTGTCAGCTGTGCCATTTCCCTGGGGTGTGGGGTGAATCCTAGCAACAAGGCAAAGATCTGGAGCATATAAAGAAACAAAGCACAGTGATTAAGGACCAGGCAGGTAACAAACATGTTCTTAGTTTTGCTTGCTCAGGCCTAGCATGCTTCAGACACTAGGTGTCAGCAGAACACCTTGCCTTTCTCTGATCTCTCTTGTCAGTCAGTGACAGTCCTCTCTTTCTCTCTCTCTCTCTCTCTCCTTTAAAATTAAGTGTATTTTTGTTTTTTGATAATTTCATAAATGAGTACTATATTTATATAATTTCCCCCAACTCTTCCCGTATTATTCCCTCTTAAATTAATGACCTCTTGTTTATTATTGCTATACATATATGTATATTTGCATGCATAACTGTACATATAGTGTATGTATAGATATACATGAGTGTATACACACACACACACACGACTAAGTTTATTTAGTGAGGCTTATGTATAGGTGTGACCACTTGGAATTGGATAACCTACCAGGGGACTTATCCCTGGAGAAAACTGATTTTCCTCCTTTCTTAGAACCCTCCTAGTCACTGAGGCAGGTCTTACTTTGTAGTCTGGGCTGGATTTGAACTTCTTCTGCCTTTCAGCTTCCAAAGTTCTGGGATCACATGCTGTACGACCTGTTAGTGGGCTGATTCTTTCTGTCTTAAAACATAAGAAGTTTCTCTTTCCTTTTTTTTTTTTTTAAATGAGTTTATATATGTTCGGCTCATGATCCTGGCTACTAATGAACAATAAGAGGAAAGACTTCAGCAAAGATATGGAACTCACAATATTGCTTGGGACAAACTCTTCAAAGAAAATAGTCTTGTCTAATTCCAGCACTTGGGAGTCAAAAGCAGGTGGATTGCTGTGAGTTTCAGGTCAGCCTGGTTTACATAGGGAATTACAAGCCAGTCAGAGCTGCACAAAGTGACCCTGCCTCAAAACAAAACAAAACAAAAAAAAGGAAAAAGCTCTAATTTTATGATTTTATGAGTAAAAAGAGAGGCATGGTAGTGGACACATTGTTTTTCCTCTATTTGTGTGTGTCTTCATATATAAAATTATAAAATATAGTGTATCAGTTTGGATACCAATGCCACATTTTTCTTAGTTCTGAGAAGTAACTAGCTTATGAAAGCTAAACTCAGCATGAAGTCAAGGATGGTCTTGAATTCCTGGCCTTCCTCCCTCTACCTCCCAAGCGCTGGAAGAACAAGGAGACACTACCTCATCTTCATTTTGTTGTTTTAATTTAAGGTTCCTCCTCATACTGTGGTCCAAACTTGAATTTTCCGTTTTCCTGATTTAGCCCTATGGGTAGTGTGAAAGCTTTTACTTATTTCACACCCGGAAGTAGAGGGTCTCACAGTCATTCCATAGGGTCCAGCCTCATACTCTGTTTAAAGGTTCTGTTTACTTTGTGTTTGAGACGGTCTCACACTCTAGCTCATGCTGTCCTTGAACCCGTGGCAATCCTCCTGCTTTAGTCTCCTTAGTGTTCGGATTGGAGGAATAAGCCACCATCCCTGGCACACTCACATTTCAACAAAAACACACGAGGGTGGTACTTTCTCTGCATCCTCCCCTCCCTCTCCCCCTCTTCTGTCTTTCTTGAGTTCTCAACAGTTTTACTTTGTAAGCACTTAACCATGTTCTAACTAGCTTCATACTTGAGATCCCCTTAGCCTCGTTCTGCTGGGCACTGGAATTATAGGCAGGGCAACCACAACCAGTTTATCATCTACTGTTCTGACAGCGGTCATCCTAAAGGGTCTTACCGCGGTTTGATTTCTTTTCTCCTAATTAGTAGGGATCTTAGTCGTCATTTCACATGCTTGTTGGGCATTTCACTATTATTTTAAGACAAGGTGTCCTAGTGCAGGCTGCCTTGAACTGACTATGTGGATGAGACTGACCTTGCCAAGTATTGGGACTACAAATCCCAGGTAAGTGAGACCAGTTTATGTGGTCCTGGGAACCGAACCAATGGCTTTGTGCACTCTAGGCAAGCCCTTCACTAACGGAGCTTCATCCCCAGGCTTAGTAAATTATTTTAAAAGGTATTTGGATTCACGATGCCCATTGGAGAGACTAGAGGTCCAAGTGATTCTCCACCGCTCAGCTCTGGCCTTGTCTCCAACGCTACCTTGAGTCAGTACAAAGAGCTCACCCGCAGCGAGAGGCAGAGGGCATTCCCGCCATTGGGTACTGGGCCGGCTTCTGGGTGACCCCGCTCGCCCCACCTCGCTAGCAGAAGCCACGCCCCTGAGCGCGTGAACGCGCCCTTTACTTGCGTGCCCCGGCCCCTCCCGGCCTCACGCAGTCGCGTTTCTTGTCACGTGGCGCCGTTAGGTCATCCGCGGGAGGACTGCTGAGAGTTCCCGGAAAGGTGTTGCCTAGCCGGGGATCGGATTCCTGACAGAGCTCAGCGCGGGTCTTTCCGGTCACGTGCTGCACGGAGCCGCTGCTAGGCTCGTTATTGCTAGGCAACGCTTGCACGCTTTTTCTGCGCTGCATCCAAGCAGTGGAGGATCTGGGCGCCGCGGGCGGACATGGACCAGTACTGCATCCTCGGCCGCATCGGGGAGGGCGCCCACGGCATCGTCTTCAAAGCCAAGCACGTAGAGGTGAGGCCACGCTGCGTTCCCTGTGCCTCAAGCCGCGGACTGCGTCCTTTCGGTGCTGAGATCTGCAGGCCTCGGGGGTCTCTGGATGCTTGTCCGGGTCCCATCTGTTGTGGTGACCCCGCTTCCAGCGGCGGGATTGCGGGAGCGCGTCCTCTGGCGGGCGGTTTAGATATTCCCGACCTAGGGGCAGATCTCTGTGGGTATCTTGTTCCCTGTGTTTTCTCTTCCTGCCCTTCCTTGCCGAAGGTCTTCTGGCAGTATCTGCACTCTTTACTGCACAGACTGGAGAGATCGTTGCCCTCAAAAAGGTGGCCCTGCGGCGGCTGGAGGATGGCATTCCTAACCAGGCCCTAAGGGAAATCAAGGCTCTGCAGGAGATCGAAGACAGTCAGTATGTGAGTGGGGCTGGGATCTGGTGGACAAGACGGTGGGCGACAGGTTCCAAGACAGCAGCTTCTCGCCCTCTTTCACTGTTTTCCATCCTTACCTTCCCATCCACAGACACTTTGAAGGATTCCCTTCTAATCCTCACTGCGCTCCTACCTGCTTAGCCCCTATTTCTCTCTCCCATTGACTCATTGCTCATACACTCATTCATTTTTTTCCTCTTTAAATATTTTGTGATTTTCACTCTCCTTTCCTTCCTGTCCCCCCTTCCACCTCCCTGCTTTCTTTCCTACGCTAGGCAGGTGCTGTGCCACTAAAGAATGCCCCCAGCCGTACGGATTTCTCAGTAACTTGTACTTGTTCCGCGGATGTGTTTAAAGGCTTTAGGAGTGGTCACCCTGAGTTCTCCCTGCTTTTCAAAGCAGGTTTCAGGAATTTGTTAAGCAAGGGGGATGTTTCATTTTCTTCATCACTTCGTGGGTCCTCAGCTATCCAGTGAAGGCTTTGGGTTGAGTGTCACTGGCAGTCTTCCCCTGGAGGCTCCTGAAAGTTCTGCGCTGTGCACAGCACTAACGACGCTGAGGAATTGGTCCCAGTCTGTTTCCCGAGAGCATGTGTGTAATGGAATCAGTAGGAGGGGACAAGGCTACACACCTGGTGTATGTATGCCTGTGCGCCAGTGTACTGTGAAGTCTGGTGGTGTGTGTCTCAGGACCTATTGGAGCAAGCTGGCTCGTCAGACCAGCGTATTTGGTGAAGCTCTAAATTCAGTAGAGGCATTGCCTCAACAGGTAATGAGGAGAGCAATTAAAGACTCCTGACTTTAGCTGTGATTCTCCACATGCTCATGCACGTTTGTACGCACATGCATCCAAACACAAAGACATGTTAAAAAAATAGTAGATTTGTCCCCAACCTTTATCATCTTCTTCATTTAGTACTACTTCTAAGGTTTCCCTGCAGGGACAGTGTTATGTTAATGTTTTACTCTTGGATTTTTTGGGGGCCCACCACCTAGCTCCCAAATAAATCACACCTGGAGGCGTATTCTTAATGAGGAATGTCCAGCCTTAGCTTGGCTTGTTTCTAGCCAGTTTTCCTTAAATTAACCCATCTATCTTTTCCCTGCGGGTTTTTTTTTTCTTTTCTTCTTCGAGACAGGATTTCTCTGTAGCTTTGGAGCCTGTCCTGGACCTAGCTCTTGTAGACCAGGCTGGCCTCAAACTTACAGAGATCCGCCTGCCTCTGCCTCCCAAGAGCTGGGATTAAAGGCCTGCGCCACCACTGCCCGGCTCCCTCTGTTTTATTTATTTTTTTATTTTTATTTTATTATTATTATTATTTAATCTTCTGTATATCTTTCTTTTCTTCTTACTCCATGGGTGGCTGGGTGGCTGGTCTCTAGTGTCCGCTCTCCTTGTTCTCTGCTGCTCCTTCTCCCTCATTTCTCTTTTTATTGATACTCCCTGCCTGCCAGCCCTGCCTATCCTTGCTGTGCCTCACTATTGTCCATTCAGCTCTTTATTAGGACCATCAGGTGTTTCAGCAGGCAGAGAATCACAGCTTCACAGAATTAAACAAACATAGCATAAACAAAGGCAACACATGTTAAAGTAATGTCCTACCGCAGGCTAGCTTCCATAGAGGTTTCAGGAGCACAGGACAGAGCAGTGTTCATCAGCTGGATGGTGTGGTTTGCACTTGTAGTCCCAGCACTTAGGACGTGGCGACAGGAGGATCCAGGTCAGCTTAGGCTACATAGTGAGTTCAAGAACTTTCCTCCCCACTGTTCCAAAAAGATACTTATTTTCTTGTCCCTCTGTCCACCTCTGCTAGTCTTAGGACCTTGTTCTTTGTGCTTTAACTGCTCAGACCTGCTCCTTGACGTCTGTATAACTGACTCTTTCCCAGGCCTACCCTTGACCAAATTCCTTAGAATTAAAGTATACTATGTCCTCCGTTCTCTGACAGTCGCATTGCCGTCTGTCCCTGTATCTTCCAGAACTAAACACATATCCCCTTTATTATTTGTGGGCCATTTATCCCCTGTTCTATAAGCTCCTCAGAGTCCGTGCATTCTAGCTCAGGGCTCTGTACAGCCTGGGCCTTAAGTCTTCAGTTGCTACTGTGTGTGATGTCTTCACAGTCCGAATACCAGAGAAGTGTGATTCCTGGTTCTGCCCCTATGGCGCTGGGATTTAGTATTCCTTTAGGACATGGTGACAGTTGTTATTTGAGTGTGCCTCTATTAGTGAAGAGTTAGAGTGAGGACTACCTTCTCTCTGGACAACAATGCACCATGAGCCCCGAGCTCCCTGGCTGTCTTTGCTTGCCTGGCTACTCTGTCAGGGCAAGGGCGAATGGTATTGCTGCTGGTGGGTCGGGAGGTGAGTCTAGCGCCATGGTTCTTAGCCTTCCTAATGCTGTAACCCCTTAATATGGCTCATGTTATGGTGACCCCCAGCCAATAAATTATTTTTGTTGCTATTTCATAACTGTAATTTTGCTGCTATTATGAGTCATAATCTAAATATTTTTGGAGATAGGTGTTTGCCCAAAGGGGTCGAGACCCATAGGTTGAGCACCTCTGGTCTAGAGGCTGATAGGATTTTTCTGCCCTCAGGTGGTACAGCTGAAAGCCGTGTTCCCTCATGGTGCAGGATTTGTGCTGGCCTTTGAGTTTATGCTGTCAGACCTGGCAGAGGTGGTGCGCCATGCCCAGAGGCCCCTGGCCCCAGCACAGGTCAAGAGCTACCTGCAGATGCTACTCAAAGGTGTTGCATTTTGCCACGCCAACAACATTGTGCATCGGGTCAGTACCTACATGGGCTGGAGTGGGCTGGGGTGAGCTCGTCCTTGAAGAGGGTCTTCAGGTAAGTAGCCAGGGCTGTGGCTCTAGAGGAGATGGAGCTGACTGCTTATCTCCCTGTCCCAAAGCCCTATGGGTAGAGGGAGGCTGATGCCCCCTTTTGCATGCACAGGACCTGAAACCTGCCAACCTGCTCATCAGTGCCTCAGGCGAGCTCAAGATTGCTGACTTTGGCCTGGCCCGCGTCTTCTCTCCAGATGGTGGTCGCCTCTACACACATCAGGTGGCCACCAGGTAATGAGGCCGTATCCCTGCCATTTCTCTCATGGGGGAAGAGACATCTTTGCACCTTCTGTCTGGGCATGGGTTGTGAGCTTCTCATCAGACCAGCTATCCAGCCGTGATCTCAAACCCTTTTCCCCTAGGTGGTACCGAGCTCCTGAGCTCCTGTATGGTGCTCGGCAGTATGACCAGGGTGTCGACCTATGGTGAGACGCTGGGGTAGATGAAACAATGTGCACCTGCTATAGGGATGTTTGGGTTTGTTGCGGGGAGGTTAGGGCAGTGATAGTCTCAGGCGGGAGGCGTCTGTTGGGGGGAGGTTAGGGCAGTGATCGTCTCAGGCAGGAGGCGTCTGGGTAAGGTGGTCTAGGGTGCAGCTCAGGTGTCTTGACTTGAGGATGAGACAGCGGTGATCTTGAGTGAGGCTTGTGCCCCTAGGTATGAAGGCTCAGCGTTTTGGTGTACTAGTTTGTGGTGTTCAGAGGTCTGAGATTTGGGTTATTTTGCATTTCTGCCCCCCAAACTGAGGAGGAGCTGGGTGTCCCAGGCACCCGGCTCGAAGTGTCTTGGAGCTGTCAGGAGCTGCTCTCTCACTCGAAACCTCTGGACCTTGACCCTGACGTGAGGTGTTAGAGCTGTCGTGGGTGGCGTGATCACCCATGTGCGAGAGTTCCAGTTGCTTACATCTGTATCCACAGGGCTGTGGGCTGCATTATGGGAGAACTGTTGAATGGGTCCCCCCTGTTCCCGGGAGAGAATGACATCGAGCAACTTTGCTGTGTGCTTCGCATCCTGGGCACACCGAGTCCTCGAGTCTGGCCGGTTAGTAGCAGCCATCCTGGGAAGGCGTGGGATTGCTCTCTTCCCCAGTAGGAAGTGACTTCTACCCATGCAGGTGTACCGGGGCCCCAGCTTTCCTTGACTGCAGAAGGGCCAGGTCTTGTCTGGGTAACATCTCAGCAAGCAGGGCAAGGGGCAGGCATCAGGGTGAGAGGGGCTAAAAGGAGGGCATGTGAGAACGGGAAAGAGCCTGCATCAGGAGTGGTGGGGTGGGGCCTGCTCTCATCGCCTCTTCCTTCGCTGGGCTCAGGAGATCACAGAGCTGCCTGACTACAACAAGATCTCCTTCAAGGAGCAGGCACCGGTGCCCCTGGAGGAGGTGCTGCCTGATGCCTCTCCCCAGGCCTTGGACCTGCTGGGTCAGTTCCTTCTCTACCCTCCACACCAGCGTATTGCAGCCTCCCAGGTAAGCCTCAAGGTTGTGGTCACTGTTCTGATACTCTGTCCTCAGGAACTATGGGACCCTGCCCAGTCGGGGACTCTCAGAGTCTGTATGGACTGGAACCCTAGTCTTCCTAATGGGGTGTTCTTCGGGAGAGTAGTCAGTGACCTTTGCCCTCTGTCCATCTCCCTCGTTGGTGGTTCCATCTTACAGCTGCAGGTGTTGAAGGTGTGACTGTTGTCTCCTCTCCCCTCATTGCTCTTTATGTCCTTATCCCTCCCATGCTTGCTCCTTGCCTTGGGCTTGTGCCCCTGTGTCCTAACCTTTCAAACCCTGCAGCAGCTCCCTGGTCTTTAGCCGTCCTCCCCAGCTCTATTTCTAACTTGTCCTGGGAGACATAGACAAACATCTGTTATAGACACTGCTAATAAATCTGACCTGAGTCTAGATACAGTCTCAGGTATTTTCTGGGACTGTGAGTTTCCTTCAATTCCTGAGTCTTTAAGGAGCCTCCTGCCCAGGGAGAATGTTTCAACTGGGAGGAAATAGCTACACATCAAACTATCGTTGTTGGAGATATTCTTGTACATCCTGCCCCTTTCTTTGGTTTATGTTCCAACCCCTTCCTCTGTTGGCAAGACTTTTAAGTTCACTGCCATGTTCCCAGCCGCTGGGACAGTGCTCCAGACAGACACAAAGGCAGGATTTGCTGAGCCAGCTGAATGATTCTGGGGGCAGGTAGTGACTGGATTTCTTCTGCTGCCTCTTGTTTGCTACCCTCAGGCCCTTCTGCATCAGTACTTCTTCACAGCGCCTCTGCCTGCCCATCCCTCTGAGCTGCCAGTTCCTCAGCGCCCAGGGGGACCTGCACCGAAGGCTCACTCAGGCCCCCCTCACGTCCATGACTTCCATGTGGACCGTCCGCTTGAGGAGTCACTGCTGAACCCAGAGCTGATTCGGCCCTTCCTCCCAGAGGGGTGAGATGCTCGCCTAGTCCTGCCTGCTTGCCCCAGGAGCATCTAGACAGCCGTTCCTCTGCCTCTTCCTGATTTGCCTCCATAGCCTCCCCATGGAAACACACACCACACTTCATCCTACTCCTTAGCCTGCTTGAGGACTGGGCTTCAGGGGCAGAACCATGAAGATGTCCAGCTCAGCAGAGAACGAGACTCACATAGCCTTCAGAAACGGCTAGCTGTGTCCTTTCCCAGGGCCACCACTCCGTGGTGTCCCCACCCTGGAGATGGTTCTCCAGGCTCTGTCTCCCGTTCAAGTCCATTGCTGTTACAGCAGCACCTGGGGAGGCTCAAGAGTCAGCTGTCATCATACTGGGTGCACACCTGGGAAGGCAGGCTTGCTTTGGTTTGGTTTCCAGAGCACTCTGGACCAGGATTTGAGATTCATATAAAAACTTTGAGTGTTTCTGCCTGTTTCTATTAGGGAAATTGACAAGATGGCCCCTTAATTTATAGGGGTCAGTCACCCAGAAGGTGCTTCCAGTCAGGGCCACTTTGGTCCTGAGGCCTCCTGTGCCTGTCATGTGACTTGAGTGCTTCTTTGGGAGTGAAGGGTCCAGAAGTTGAGGCCCAAAGATGAACAGTTTTGCTTCCAAAGCACATTTTCCACATGCTGGGCAGTTAGTTTTTCTGTAGGACGAGGGTAAGCCGGAGGCTGCCGTGCACATTTGAAGCAGGCATTCCTGGAATTCATTTAGTAAATTCCAGTGTAACTCAGTCTGCTTGTTGATCTTTATTTTATAGTAATATAGTAAGATGAGTCTAAAACAATGATTCTCAACCTTCCTAATGCTGTGACCCTTTAATTCAGTTCCTCAGGTTATAGTGACCCCAACCATAAAATTATTTTCATTGCCACTTCATAATTGTTAATGAATTATGATGTAAATATTTGATATGCAGGATATCTGGTATGAGATCCATATGAAAGGGTCATTCGACCCCCAAGGGGTCACGACCCATAAATTGAGAAGCACTGGTCTAAAAGAATACTGAGATGTCGAGGACCAAGAGGAGGAGCAGACAGAAGAGGCGGACTTGTATAGCGGATATTAAGACTTACCATATGGTTATGTAAGGACTAAGACAGAATATTGTTTCAGGAATAGATTAAATAGAATCTTAACTATCCATTATTCAAATATATAACAAAATTTGCTAGTGACTTTGGGATACACCTGTAACCCTAGCGCTCAAGGGTCTGAGACAAGAGGTTTCCTAAGAGTGAAAGATCACCCTGGGCTATAGTGGAAGATCCTGTCTGAAAAAAAAAAGTGTATGTGTGTATATAATATACACACATAGGAGACACATTATATTCTTAAAATGTTTATTTTAGTCCTAACATGTATTGGTAGTTGTGTGAGTATTGGGGACACAGAGGTAACTAACAGATTTACACCATGCTACTCTCAGGAAATCCTGATGTCTTCATAACCCAAACTCCGTTTATTTCTCTGATCATGTCTGCAGACTCTTAAGAGCTACAAGAAACTAATGGGTGACAACTTGTGTCTGGATGCTGTTTGGAAACAAAGGTACAGGATGATAAAAATGTGGTCCATTTGTTGATTTACACATCGGTGCCTTCAGTGATCTCTGCAGAGCCTTTTCTAACTCCGCATCGCACAGTGATAACCAGGCATACAGGGAAACATTGAACAGCAGAAAACCAGCTCTGGACTCACCAGATAGTGCAGCTACCACACTTGGTACTAGGTAGAATCCAGTGGGTGGTATTGAAAGTCATGTAATAATACAACAAAACACAAATATACAAGCCTGTAGTAGGATGGTTTCCCTTCCCCCCCCCAAAAAGATTTTGTTTGGCTTGTTCTTTTCGAGATGAGACAATGAGCCTGACTTTGAGTTCCCTTTGTGACTGAGATGACCCTGATGCCTCCACTTTTATTGGGATTACAAGCCTCTATTACCACACTTTACTCGTAGTAATTTGAATGCAGAGTACGTATTCTAGCTGGAACAGAGGTGGTTACTTGTATTAAAAAGGGAGAGAAATGGGTATTTTCAAGAATAGAATTATAAATCAAACTTTTACAAGTAAAAGAATTTAAAAATGTGGTATAGTTTGATATCAGAGTAGGCAATTACTAGGGATAAACATTAAACTTGCATGAGATGGCAAAAATTGCTACATATATATGCACACAATACAGATTTTTTTACTCTTTTGATACTGAATCTTCTGTAGCTGAGGCTAGCATTAAACTCATTATATATGCAAGGCTAGCTTCAAGCTCACTGTGTAGCCCAGAATTACAGAAGCCTGCAGAGTCCAGCTCTGTAGACTTCCTCCAGAGTTGAGGTCAGAGGCCACTGTGTAGTGGAGGGGGTTAGCATAGCTCTAATCTGAGGGTTTTACACAAAAGGCTCACAGCGCTGTTCCAAACATGTCTCTATTCTACCTTTATTTTAATTCTGTCCTAATTGTCTATAATTTCTTAGCTCTAATTCTCTGTCTCAATTCTGATTCCAATTCTCCGTTACAAGTCTCTGTTCCAATTATTTTACATTTCTTTTTTCTTCATTTTCCTACATTCTCTATACTTTTACATTTCTGCCAGCTTCTGTTTGCTCTCTTAGCTTTTATAGACCCACAGAATCTTGTAGTCTTTACCTCTGAAGGTCACATACCGTTTCTTAAGTAAATGATAAGAAACAGAGTCATTCCAACAACTCAGAATGCAATAAATCCAGATAGTAAGAAAAGAGCACTTTCTTTCAGTTAACTCCCTAACTAGTGGACTGCAAACCGCAGCTGTGAAAGGAGAAGTCTTTCTTGTTATTCATAGAGGTAGCCTTCCAAAACTAATAAGAGAAATAAGGAAATTGTGTGTTATATCCTATACTTTGTAAAAAGATTTTATTTATTATGTTCACAGTGTCCTGTCTGCATGTATGCCTGTAGGCTAGAAGAGGGAGCCATATTTTACTACAGATAGTTGTGAGCTACCATGTGGTTGCTGGGAATTAAACTCAGTGTCTCTGGAAGAGTTCTTAACCACTGAGCCATCTCTCCAGCCCCTATATCCTATACGTTTGATTGTATAAAACATCTTAAACATTTTGTGATCAGTAGTCATAAAGTCCAGGCTTTCTGGGACTGGGGACCTGTTTGTTTACAAATGTTTTATAGAATCTTTCTTCTGTGGTGTCTGAACAAAGGTTGAGGTTAGGAATCGGTGCAGTTAATTATTGTCCCTGGCACTCCAGTTAAATCACTTTACACTATTTACCTTGGCTCAATAAATCATACAGCTGGCTACATGTTCTAGTAAATAAGATTGTATTCTTTTTTGTTTTGTTTTTCAAGACAGGGTTTCTTTGTGTAACAGTCCTAGATGTCCTGGAACTTGCTCTTGTATACCAGGCTGGCCTTGAACTCAAAAAGATCCCTCTACCTCTGCCTCCCAAGTGCTGGGATTAAAGGTATGCACTGCCACCGCCCAGCTAAGATTGTATTCTTTTGATAATAGTTTATCTTAAAATCCAATTAGCAAAGCACCTGGCCTGATCTAAAAGCTACTTTAAAGTTAAATCAGTTGGTAGTGTGTGGCTGTCTTGGCAGATGGGGAAATTACAGCTGTTTTCTTAAGCTGTACTCTAGTTCGGCTCTTAATGGAAACTTAAAACTCCTGACTTGGGTAGCATTTCTTTGTTTTATTCATCAAAACTCGGTATAGGTTAACAGTATTAATATTAATTGGACAATACAGCTAAGGCAGAACCATCTTCTTGACAATCCACAGATAGAAATGCCCAGTAGATCAGGAATGTATTTATGTGATACACACACACACACACACACACACACACACACACACACACACACACATACAGGCTAGAGAAAGAATCCATTTAGCACATTTAAAATTATAGGGAGAAAAATCAGATATTCTGGCGTCTATATTTCTTGCAGGTCTTGCAAGGCACATTTCCTCCATTAGAAGTTAATTCTGGTCGATTGACACCTTGAATATTAATTGCTCCTTCTGTAATAAATAATGAAGGCTCTCAGCCAGAATGATCTCAAGCTCATCCTGCTGCCAGTGCAGGTGTGAACTACTGATTCTGGATTCTGCAGTGCTGAGATTGAAACTAGAGTTCAATGTCCAGTGCATGCTGGACATTTCAGCCCTTTGAGGATTCAACAAGGCCTTAATGTGGTGTAGGAGTCCGTCTGTCTATGTTTTACTTTCATTGGTTAATAAAGGAACCGTTTTGGGCCTATAGCAGAGCTGTAGGGGAACAGAGCTAGGAAGGGAAAAATAAACGGAATGCTAGGAAGAAGAGGCAGAGAGAGACACATGCCGAATCTTTGCCACTGCCATGTGAAAGATTTGCCTGTGACTTGGTTCCTAGTCTCTTCATTGCCAACCTAGGCACTAAGGATGAGATTCCAAAGCTATCTGCCATCTTCCACCCCAGCCTGGCCATGATACCTCTTTCATTTGGGAATTCTTTCCTTCTGGAGGCCCGGAACTCCACCTCCATCTACTCAGCAGGTGCACCTGGTCCAGTCTAGGTTTCTTGAGAGTATCCCCGTCTGTCCTCAGCAGAAGGTCAGAGGTTACGCTTGGGATTGAGGAAACTCTTCAGTGGAGTCTTTCTCTGAATGGAACTTGAGAGAGGGACTGGAAGAGTGGCTTCCCTCCTGTGATAGGAGCAAGCCTAATATTAGGCTTCAGGGGTAAATGAAGTTCATACAGAGGAGAATAGAAAGGAGAAAGAAAGTACTAATGACTTTATGTGCTTATGAATTGCAGGAACTTTTTATAGCGGGAGTGGGTCTCAGTAGTAATAAGGATCTAAGATGGGAGAAAAAAACAGGGAAAGAGGTAGGAAGGGAAGGAGGGAGGCAGAGGGAGAGGGAAAAGGGGGCATAAACTAGCTGACCTCTGGGGCTTCCCCCTGGTTGCTTAGAAATAGTGTCTGCCTGATCATCAGCTTCACACCTTCCTCTTCCTTCATTTTCTGGAGCAGAGGGGCTTCATACAGGTTGCAGATTTGCCTATGACTCCTCGTCTCCACTGGTTTTATGTCACTCTTCCTGGGGATATAAGAACAAATGTCTACACCCCAGATAGGGAACCAACAATAGATACAAATATCACCAAAGTCCTCAAAGGGAATGGTGTATTCTTTTAATCCCAGCACTTGGAAGGCAGAGGCTGGCAGATTTGAGTTGGAGGCCAGCCTGGTCTACATAGCAAGTCTCAGGACACTCAAGCGAAGGCAGTGAAAGACAGCTGGTGAAGATGGAATTGAATGAGGGAGCCATATTCCAGCCCCAGGAAGCAGCAGAACTTGGCAGCTTCAGCATGTGGTTCTGAGTTTAGAATTAAGACTAGAAGAAAGGAATGGAATAAAGCCACTAAGGCAGGCATGTGTCAGGGGTGGCCCTGAACGGAGGCCTAGAGAGGCCATTGGGTGAAGCTGTGAAGTTGAAGTCTTGTCTTGGAAATTTTAGAGCCATGGGATACCTGCTGAGGAGAGCAGGGGGTGGAATCAGCCCAAAAGAAATAAAGATGAATGGAGTTGGAGACCTAAAGAGTATTTTGACATCAGATACAGAGTTTGGAGTTTGCCCAGCTGGTTTTTGGCCTTGATTTGCTCCAGCATTTCCTCATTGTTCTCCTTTACCTATGTTTTGGAAGGGTAATGTATATCCTGTGCTTTTGTATGTTGGAAATATGTCATTTGCCTTTTGATACTGATTTTTATAGGGGAATTACAGTTAAGAGATTGCCATGCATCTCAGAAGAGACTTTGAAACAAGTTTGAGACTGTGATAGACTGACTGAATGCATTTTTGCATTATGACATGGCTATAATCTTTGGGGGCCATAGAGTTGAATGTGGTGGTTTGAAAGAAAATGACTCCTACAGGGAGTGGATTAGGAGGTGTGGCCTTGTTGGAGGAAGTGTGTCATTGTGTGTGTGTGTGTAGCTTTAAGGTTCCTTTTGCTCATTCCCCTCAGTGTAACTTTCAGAGCACTTCGTGTTGCCTGCACAATGTAGGACTCTGAGCTACTATACAATGTAGGAACCTGAGCTACTGCTCCACCACATCTGCCTGCACACTACCAGTGTTCCCCATCGTGATGATAATGGACTGGACCTCTGAAACTAAGTGAGCCAATTAAATGTTTTCTTTATAAGAGTTGCTGTGGTCTCTTATAAAGGGCGGTGGTGGTGCATACCTTTAATTCTAGCATGTGGGAGGCAGAGGCAGGCGGATCTCTATGAGTTTGAGGCCAGCCTGGTCTACAAGAGCTAGTTCCAGAACAGGCTCCAAAGCTACAGAGAAACCTTGTCTTGAGAAACAAAAACAAAAACAAATGGGTGAGGGGTTATTTACAGAAGCAGAAATGACTCGAAGACTCCCCAACCCACTCCAGAATGGGTGATAGCTTGTGAAAGTTGAAAAGCTGGAGTGTGATTCACAACCTTTGGGCTGCTCACCTGGTCAGAGATTCTTCTAGACAGTCCAGATTGTCTGGAGTCTCTTAGTCTTTTACAGTGGATGTATGCTTGAAGACAAATGATGCCTAGTGAATCTGCCTGGTTTTAGGGACCTGAAGCCTTTGAATTGTTTACTTCTTGAGCTTAATTGATTCTTGGCAGGATGGATTGTCTTACCTCCCCCTCAGAGCATCCTGTGTTTTTACAAGCCTCCCTTCAAGATGGAGGGTTTTATTTTGGAGGAAATTGCTATACAATCACCACTAATTTGGGGCCTTATATAAGATTCTGAAGCAACTTCCCCTCCTACTTCATCCTGGGGTAACCCTGTGAGATACAGAGAGCTAGCTTTGCTCTGCAGCCCAGAAAACATAGTATCAAGTCAGGAAGAGGACTTAAAAGCAGCATATGGGGCCAGGCAGTGGTGGTGCATGCCTTTAATCCCAGCACATGGGAGGCAGAGGCAGGTGAATTCCTATGAGTTTGAGGCCAGCCTGGTCTACAAGAGCTAGTTCCTGTCTCAAAAAAAAAAAATAAATAAAAATCAAAAACAAAACAAAAACCAAAAAGACCAGCATATGTATGAGAAAGTTAAAGAGCAGGGAGCGTGGAATATTCATTGTCAGGCCCTTGAGGTTCACGGGGAAGGCAGCCTCCTTCCACAGTCTTTAGAACTTTGGGATTTTCTCTAATTTTGAGATTTTTCTGGTGTGAGGATGGTGGTGGTTTGGGGGACAGTCTGACCCTCTGAGATCCTCCTGAATGTATCTTTTCTGTACCTGTCCTGATGCTCCCTGTCGTGACATGAATCTACGGATGGGTTGAGATTGGCCACTTCTGTGTCAGCCAGAAATAAAGGAAGGATGTATCTCCAGAGTTGGTGCAATTTTATTAAACAGCAAATACAATTTAACACTGATTTACCATGGATGACAATTCCTGTTCCTCGATGATGGATTCACAGGCAGATGAAGCGAATGTGGAGTTTCCACCTGTCAGGAGTCCAGCTAAGGTAATGGGGGCTGGCGGCAGAAAATGCAGGCAGTAGATGGCGCTATTGGCTTGTGTGACATAATCCATGGTGCATGCTCTACAAAATTGAGTAACTCATGGAGAGGAGGGAAAGGAGCAGAGGAAAGCATGAATTTCTAAAACTCTCTGAGAGGTCCAGAGGACAGGAAGTCATTCCTCGTGCGCTGAATCATGTGACTTGGATAGGCACATGTAACATGACGGGCCGGCTTGTTCGGGTATTGTCCCGCCCGGTACCCCACAGCTGGCAAGTCCCAGAGAAAATCAATCACACAGAGATCTCTATAAGTTATAAAGCTGATTGGCCCATGAGGTCAGGCTTCTTATTAGTCCTTGTAACTTATATTAATCCATTATCATTATCCATGTTAGCCACATGGCTCAGTACCTTTCTCAGTGTGACAGCTCACATGTTGCCTCTTCGGTCCTCTGGGCAGGAATGGTAGAGGGAACTTCCTGCTTCCCAGAATATTCCTGTTCTCATCGCCCTGCCTCTACTTCCTGTCTGGTTGACCCACCTATATTTCCTGCCTGGCCAATCAGCGTTTTATTAAAATACATGATTGACAGAATACAGACAATTCTCCCGCACCAGGCACAGCCAGAACAGAACAGTTTCTACCTCAGGCTGCCCTCCCAGAGACAGGGACCTCTAACCATCAAAGCCGGCTACTACCTTCAGGATAAATTAGAGTACTGTCCCTGTGATGAGGGGACCTTGTCAGACCTGGTCAGCCCAGAGCAGTGGAGTTGATCATTTGAAGGGGTAG